TTTATTTACACGGTACAGTTACAGATGCAGAATGCCTTACAGCTCCTCAAAAATCCTGGCTGGAAGATGATGCTTGCCACCAGAGGCTGAGGGGTGCTTTACCACTCAGCTCATATCCTGCACATCTGTTTTCCAAAAATAAGTTATAATTTCTTTTCACTTCTAATCCAATCCTTCACTATTATTTTACCCTTAGAATACTGGAAGGCCCTTAAGGGGATCCCATACCTTCGTTCTTTTTCTCGGCAACTATATAGGTCACCACAGAAAAGTCCAATCTAGACCCATTCCTTTCCCCAGGAATAACATCACTACCCGTATCTGCTCTGATCACTGTTATATCAGCCTCACCCCAGGACCATTCAAGATCATAAACTACACCCTTGAATCACTGGAGAGAAAACCTCTTCAGATGCTCCTGTCTGCCACCAGTACTAAATTCTCCCCACAATCATGTTACAATCGTGTTTCACTGTGGGAAAGAGGTGGTCTCTTAAACTTATGACCGATGAATCAAATCCTTTGTGATTCTGCAATCCAGCTATGCTCTTTGTGAGAAGTGTGAGCATCTCTGACAGGATTCTTTGGTTTTCGCTTCTCCGATTGTAAGGCCAAATCACTCTCTGGCCTTTGTCATACGGGAGGTGTTCATTTGTTTGGATACACGGATGGCTTAAATATTTGCATATGGGAGAAGGCAGCATTCCTACCAGTGGTCTCTTCTCCCAAACAGCCTGAATTTATCCTCATTTTTGCCAGTTGAACGTAGGCAGAGAAGGTGGCCATCTTCTTGTGGCCAGGCACCTTGCAGGCCAGCGCAGGATCTCACCCAGCCTGGTTGTGATGCCAAAGGCACGAACCCCAGAACAGAATTTATTTTGCTGAACACAGTGTGGAGCCTGTGGGCCCCTCACTATTGATGTGCTTAGCCTGGGCACATGTCTTTCCCAACTGTAGCTGTAATAAGAAAAATAATAGGAAACGGGTGACTGCTGAGAACATTTCATGACCACCGTGATGCTACATCCAGATTTGTGGCTTAGTGGAGTCTGTTAGTCTCTTAGCAGCCCAAGCACCTAACCAGTACTGCCTCATTTACATACTGCACCTGGTCACCTGAGCTTAGTGACTGCAAACCTCACCCCCTGCTCTAGCTCAGATTCCACTCACCGTTTGCTGTCTGTCAGCAGCCTCAGTGACAGCCAGGCTTGCCCCAAAGACTCCAGAAGGCTGCTGGCACTCAGCAGAGCTGGGAAACACAGGGATGTCCCCACAAGACTAGTCATAGTCTGCCCCTCCCTGAAAGAGAGCCTACCAGGACACCAAGCTGTCATCCATCAGCAACTCTGCATCGCACGGCGGACCACGTGGCATCGTGTCTGGCACATTTCAGCAGGCCTCTACCTGCCATGGCAGGGAAGATGGCCCAGTACCTTGTGTCTGAGAACGAGGTGATCCATGTCTACCCAGTGGCCAAGTCAAACTGGCCAGTGAGCACATCAAGTTCACAGTCAAAGGCTCTTTTAGGGACCACCCACACTCTTAAGGGGGGCATACATTTGACTCTGGCGGTGTGTCTGGACCTCATGTGCTGGATAACAAAGTTGTTAGCAGTGAAGCTTGATATGACAGGCTTATCAGGCAAAACTGCTTCCTGATCAGACTTTATCTCTAAATATCCAAATGAACTTCGACTTACTTGTTCAGGGAAAATCCAGATCCTAGGTAAATCAGGCTGGGGTGATCTGCACGAAGGCATGGCTTGCCCTCTTAGTAATTAGCATCACCAGAGATGTAGCACAGAAGAGCCCAGAGCTACAGGTTTGGGGAAGCCTACCATGGGAACAGAGAAACCGATTTTCTCTGTGTTGGCAATGTGTAGAAGAGACTATATCTTGCAGGTCAGCCCCTTCAGTGCTGCTGAGCCCGGGCTGCAGTGCCAGTATTCTGAGGGAACACTGTATATTCGCTGGGGTCTCCTTACAAAGCAGATTCCAATAAGAATGAGAAAATCTTGTTTCGAATCACTTGTGCTGGGAACCAACAGTTTATTCACTGACTGAACCCAACAATTTGCACCCTTCATAATTTGTGCTCGGCTCACATTATGACAGGGTTCTCTCACAAGGTATTTGTGTTCTTTGGAACTAATGGGAGAGGGTATAGGAAATCCCATATTTTAGTTAAGAGGATTCTGAGTGAAATATCGTCTCTTCATTACCCAAACTCTTTCTCCTACAGCAGTTCAACATTAAAGAAAAAACAAAAGAATGACTTGGTTTATGTTATTTTTTCAAAAGAGCTATATTCTTCACGCATACTTTTTTTTACACTAAATAACTTAGTTTGAAATAAAATGTGCAGTTTAAAACGATCATAGGAAGGCTGTGGAAATAGCTCAGTAGTCAAAAGCGTTTTCATCTTTTCCAGAGGACTCCAGTTCAGTTTCTAGAAGCCACAACCATTGTCTCACAACTACATTTAACCCAGATCAAGGGATCTGATGCCTTTGACCTCTAAGAACTCTTGCACTAACACACACGCCTGCGCACACCTGCATACCACTCATACATACATAAATTTTTAAATTTTTTTTTTAATTCCTAGGAAACAACTTTATACTTTTGTTCACAGTGAGCTGTCCATGAGGGAAACCCCTAGGTGTTTAAGCTGTGAGCCTGAAGAGGTAACAGACAGGGCATCTGAGTGTACACTGTATGAAAGCCGCACTGTCTGTAGTCAGAGGTCCCAGCTGCCATAATAAAAACACTTGCCACAGCAAATATCCGTACAGCTTCCAAATCTGTTGTGTCTGAAGATGAAACACTTGTAAAAATTTCAGGCTTGTTCTTTCACTTAGAAGCACAGTTTAAAATTTACTCATTTTGTTATATACATCAATTGGTTGCTAGGTTGTTTTTTTGTTTTTTGTTTTTGTTTTCCATCAGCTCGGTCTGTGTATGCAAATTTGTGGGATGTGTTCTCGATTGGTGACTGCTGTGGGAGGACGCAGAGTACTGTGCTATCCTGGGCTGGGGGTTCTGGGTTGTTTAAGAAAACAAGCTAAGCAACCCAGTACACAGCACTCACCCATGTTTTCTGCTTCTGTTCCTGCCTCCAGGTAGGTTCCTTTCTTGCATTCCTGCCCTGAATTCCTTTCATGATGAACTACAAACTGTTATGCGAAATAAACACTTTTTTTCCAAAGTTGCGATTTCCTAAGAGTTTTATCACAACATTAGAAATCTTAACTAAGACACCCTCCCCAAGGAACAGGGCCAGAGGATCTATCCATTCATTCAAGTCTACGTTGGCCACTACATTGCAGCTGGCATCACCGGCCCTTAGTATGGAGCTGTGTCAGACACAACTGCACTTAGTAGTGCTCTCCTTATGCTCCTTTCCAAAAATGTATTCTTCAAATTTGCTCTCTTAACATTTGCTCATTGAGTGAATGGAGTGTGTGAGTGATCCCACAAGATAAAGTCCCCAGTAGCACAGGGCTTCTACAGTGAGGTAAACATTAGGGAGACAGTTGTCTGTCATTTTAGAATGAAGGAAATGGCACAGATAATTAGGGGCATTTTAATTTATATGACCAAAGAAGGCGTTACATTACCTGTACCTTGCCGTAAACACTCCTGATTCACGCGATCTGAATTTTTGTGAGGCTAAAGCCTAAGGGGCAGGTTTAAGATGTGACATTCCATGGGTCAAAGTGTCACAGAGGGAATACTTACGCCTCACACTCCTAAGTACAGCCATCCTTAGAGAGTGTTTGTGGGTGTTGTTTTAAGAATACTGAAATGAGGTCATTGTGCATTGTGGAGTGGAAGCTTGTAATGTTTTCAATATGAAATGTCTCCCACGTGTCCATGTGTTTGAATACTTGGTTTCCTGTGGTGGTTTGAACAAGAATGGTCCCATAGGCTTATATATTTTTAATGCTAAATCACCAGGGAGTGGAACTGTTTAAGAATTAGAATGTGTGGCCTTATTGGAGGAAGTGTTTCACTGGGGGTGGATTTTGAGGCTTCAAAAGCCCAGGCCAGGCCCACCTAGTCTCTCTTCTCTATGTATCTGTCTCCTCTCTCTCCTACTGCTCCAGCGCCATGTTTGTCTGCTTCCAGACAGCCGTGATGATCTAACCCAACTGAAAGCAAGCAACCACTTAAGCGCTTCCTGTTGTGAGAGTTGCCTTGGTCATGGTGTCTCTTCACAGCCACAGACAGCACCCACTCAGTGGCACTGTTTGGGAAAGCCATGGGAGGCAGTAAAGCAATTGCTGTCTTCAGATATTCTAAAGGTATAACGTACCTACTAGGGTGAGCAGCCTAGCCAAAGCCGAGGACGGTGGACTGCTGTGCAGTGGAGCAGGGCTCTCTTCCTGGTCCACCCTTCCTGTCCTTGCTGGTTCGGTGGCAATTACGTCAGCCTATTCGGTTAATGTCTATGACATCAGACTGTACATGATGTAAAAGCTATGTCAGGTTTGGAGAAGCCGTCTCTGGCTGCTTTCCCCCGGCAGACGCTCCTACCCCTGGGTAACAGCTTACCCGTTAACAGCGCTCACATTAACAAAGAAATGTAAGACGGGGCAGCTAGACGCTCCCACCAGAGACGGCGTCACCCAAAGGCGTCCGAAGAGGCCATCTTGGCAGCAACACAAAATACCGTTATTACCGTTTGTCGGTTGACTCGGACTTCCATTCCACCACCAAGCATGAGCCCACAAGGCACCCACACCGACCACCAGCACTTCCACAAACCAACGCGTGGCACACACACCGCACCAAAGACTTCAGACTAGGCAGCCCTCGGCTGCGGGGCTCCACTCACTCCTAAGTGTGGTCCTCTGAACGCCACAACGGGGGCCCGGTCATGTCTAGTCATAGACCCGCACGCCTAGCCACACCGGAGGGCCAACAAGCAAGCACAGCTCTCTTCCGAGAAGAGCTGGGTGGCTCTGAAAAGAGCCTTTGGGTGGGCGCGGGCCCGGCGCTCACTTGGAGCTGGTGTACTTGGTGACGGCCTTGGTGCCCTCGGACACGGCGTGCTTGGCCAGCTCCCCGGGCAGCAGCAGGCGCACGGCCGTCTGGATCTCCCGCGACGTGATGGTCGAGCGCTTGTTGTAGTGCGCCAGGCGCGACGCCTCGCCCGCGATGCGCTCGAAGATGTCGGTCACAAAGGAGTTCATGATGCTCATGGCCTTAGAGGAGATGCCCGTGTCGGGGTGCACCTGCTTCAGCACCTTGTAGATGTAGATGGAGTAGCTCTCCTTGCGGCATTTCTTCCGTTTCCGGCCCTCCTTTTTCTGGGTCTTGGTAACGGCCTTCTTGAAGCCCTTCTTGGAAATGGTAGCGCCCTTTGCCGACACCTCTGGCATTGCGGGAATGACTTCTTGCACTCCAACGGCTGAGAAGAGTTCCAACCGCTGTGAAGCAGTGCACTCGTCGCCGGGTACAGAGGCATTTATAGGCGAGGACCTCTGATGACGTATGGACACGCGTTATTTGATTGGACAATAAGTGCTCTGTCCATGCAAATAAGGACATTCAGTTGGTGCTTTTTGATTGGCTGGTCCATCATTAGTTGCCCAATCAGGTGGCGTGTATAACTTACGTCCTACGTCCGACTATAAATAAGCGCTGCCTCACCTTCGCGCCTACTTGACGCTTCTCAAGAGTAATGTCTGGACGCGGCAAGCAGGGCGGCAAGGCCCGCGCCAAGGCCAAGACCCGCTCGTCCCGGGCCGGGCTGCAGTTCCCCGTGGGCCGCGTGCACCGGCTCCTCCGCAAGGGCAACTACGCGGAGCGGGTGGGCGCCGGCGCCCCGGTGTACCTGGCGGCCGTGCTGGAGTACCTGACGGCCGAGATCCTGGAGCTGGCCGGCAACGCGGCCCGCGACAACAAGAAGACGCGCATCATCCCGCGCCACCTGCAGCTGGCCATCCGCAACGACGAGGAGCTCAACAAGCTGCTGGGCCGCGTCACCATCGCGCAGGGCGGCGTCCTGCCCAACATCCAGGCCGTGCTGCTGCCCAAGAAGACCGAGAGCCACCACAAGGCCAAGGGGAAGTGAGGCGGGTCTTGACTGATCCTCTCGTGTGTAAAACAACGGCTCTTTTCAGAGCCACTTTAATTTTCAGAAAAAGTTGTGCATGACAGTCGATTCCCCCCACTCCACCCCTACGACAGGTATAATTCCTGGCAGTCCCGAGTCCAGGCTTTATTCGTCCGTTTGTCTCCCAGCTGTTGACGTTTTTAAGATGAGGTGGTTGGTGTGAAAGTTGGGCTGTTTCAGTCCCAGAGGATGACCCAGCTCTGCCTCTTCTCTAAAGCGCATTAGAAAACTCCCCAATGTTGTAAACTATCAGCACGGTGTGAGCTGCAACGTTGGTCAAAGCATAAGCACATTGGGAATGCTGAGTTGCTCTCGTCAGCTTTAAGGACTGCAGTGCAGGGCCTTTCAACGTGTTTAAAGATCTTTGTTAGTGTTTGTCGCTTGAGTGGTATGTGCACCAAGAGCGCGCAGAAGCCAGAGACGACGCTGGAGCCCTTAGAACGAGCTGCTAGGCATTGGGAACCGCCGTGAGGGCGCTAGGAACCGAACTCAGCCTCGGCAAAAGCAGCAAGGGCTTTCAGCAGCTGTGTCATCTGTCTAGCCCAATTGTCATCATTTCTCAAAAATCCAGGAATGGAAATATTTTTAAGTTTTGGTTGGAAAATAGAGCCATTTGATGTTCATTTTGTAAACACCAAAAAGAAAGGGGGGGGGCTTATGACATCTTCATAATCTATACTGGCCAATTCTGTATGTAAAGGTTCTACTGGTGTTTGATTTCCTGTGAGATCGTTCATACACCCTGCTTCGGAGTTCAAGACCACCGGGGAAGGACCCCACCAGACAAAACTTAAAAAGTTTTAGTGTTTGTGGCTAAACACTAAAAGTTAAAAAATAAGGTTATTTTATAGCATTGTGCGACAGTAGCTTCCTTTGCCAGTCTGAGAACTGCTGCACAAACCACAACTGTCTGAATTTGGGATTTTTCTGCTACATGAGACATTATCTTTTTCTTTTCTTTTTTTTTTCTGAAAAGGATCAATTAAATAAGATCACAGAAGCAGAATGCATGTTTGGTCAATGTTTTAGGATAACAATTTAAAAATAAGAGGAAGGGAAAGCAATTTTGGGAGATGAGGTGGTGAGAGAGATCAGTCTTCTCTTTACACTGTTGTCAAGACTCAGTTGCTGACGGGGCTTACCTTAGGGTCACGGTCTAATATGAAGAGTCATCTAATAAATTCCTTTGATATCATTGGGCATAGATATACAGACTTTGGAGTTTGCCCTGATGGGTTTCCATATTGCTTTGGTCTAGTATTTCCTAAACAAGTCCCATTTCCTCCCTTTGTAATGGTAATATATATTCTCATTAAATGAAATACACTAGTTGAATCAAAATGGAAGGCAGCTGTGTCCTGTTTTTAAACTCCACACTTAAAACTTGTTGGTCCAGGAGGTTTGTAAGAAAAATGTGGAAAAGATCACCACTCTAATACTTGTTTTGTAATATTAAAATCAAGGATATTATGCAGTGGAAATAATTTAGTGAAATCATTATTTGATAATAAATGTCTCTGGAAAGTTGTATTAGTTCTTTACTATGGTGAAGGTAGAAAGTGCATTTTTATTTTAAAAAGTAGAAATATTTCAGAGGCAGAAATGGACACATCTGTGAAGAGTGCGTAATGTGAAAATACCTCTTACAAAGAGATAACTACCCCACCATGTGTTTGCATGTTAAAAACACAATAAAGCACAACTTACATGTTAATAGCCAAACCATAAACCTCTGGCCCTATGTTACGGGGTTTCTACTGTCTCAGTCTTACCTTCACTGTGTTCACCTGTATGGCTTTGCTTTAGTTTGTCTCTCCCTCTGAATCTGTCCACCCAGTTTTTAATTAGCACAACTTGTTGCACAAACAAGAGTTCTAGTCAAATGCCTGTTATCTTGTAAGGGAAGCTGTAATTCAGCCCTACCAAAGTCAGCCACAGGTTCACCCATAAACCATTAGGAACAGTCAAAGGCATGTTGTGTTTTATAACTGTCGTGGTGTGTGTGTGTGTGTGTGTGTGTGTGTGTGTGTGTGTTTAAAAATGTGTTTTAAAAGATTCTGAGATGCAGCTTCAGATACAAGCAAACTCATTTTGATTATATGTATGTTAATGAACAAACCATAGTGATATAAATGTTAATAATAAAATATGGCTTCTGCTGGCCACAGTGCATGGACTATCTTGCTACACATTCCAGAAGGAAAAGAGAAGGAAGAAGAAATGGGGAGAGAAGGAGGAAGGTGGAGACAGATGCGGGAAGGGTAATCTTTCAAGGAGATCACAGAAATAATAGCCAAAGCCAGCGTGATGTTTGTAGCCTAGTGAAAGCACAGCAGTGATCAGTGGGATGAAACCAGAATGCTTTGGGTTTTTTTTTTATCTTGATTCTTTTTTTTTCTTGGTTTTTTTCAAAACAGGATTGTGTGTGTGTGTGTGTGTGTGTGTGTGTATGTGTGTGTACCCTCGGTTGTCCCAGAACTCGATCCGTAGACCACACTAGCCTCAAACCTGCCCGCTTCTGCCTCTCGAGTGCTGGTATTAAAGGCATGCATCACCAACACTAAGCAAAAAAATTATTTATTTATTTATTTATTTATTTATTTATTTATTTATTTATTTAGGTTTTTAAAATTTTTCGAGACAGGGTTTCTCTGTGTAGCCTTGGCTGTCCTGAACTCACTTTGTAGACCAGGCTGGCCTCAGACTTACAGAGATCCTCCTGCCTCTCATCTTGATTCTTTGAAGAATAGTGGTATTGGCTCAACAACCCTCCTTAAGGTTACCAAGCTGCCGGGAGCCAAAGCTATTTACTGAAGCCAAAGCCAAATAGTGAGCAAAGGTCATTTAGTGGAGACCTAAAGCTATTTAGTGAAAGAGTTACCCAGGACCCTAAATCACGGGTGATAGATTTGTGAGGACATCCCTCTGTTAGTTTTAGAGCATCCGTGAGATACCTGAAGAAAACATCCTTATGGTATCTTGCAGGTGCAATATTCAAGCCATGAAAGCACCCTTGCTATCTCCTCCAGCAGTAATTAAGCCTTCCCCCTTTCCTGCCTTCTCCCTATATAAGTTGGGTAAAAATTTCTAATAAATGAGGCCTTGATCAGACAAACAGACTTGGCTTCCTTTTTCATGTCTCTGTGTCCACTCATTCTTTCCACCACCACCACCACCGCCCCCTTTAGGACTCCGTTGAACTCCCTCGGGTCGGGACACCAAGCGCTGGTCAATGGCCTCTCTTCATACTTATGTGACCTAATACATTTCATTTTTTCTTTTTCCTTCTTCTTCTTTTGAACAGATACAGTTTATTTTCTGATTTACCTTTCTGTGCATGGCACCATTCCCAAGGCTTCAGACGCGCTGTGCAAGCACTTCCCACTGAACTTCATCCCAGCACTGTTTTCTAAGTTTTAAAAACTAAGATGTTTAATTTTTAGTTAAGCTAATTTTGGCATTCCGTATGTGTGTATCACACACCTTGATCATATTTAACCTTCACTTCCTTCTCTTGCTTCTTCTCCCTCTTTCACACAAAAAGGTCGACAACAGAATCTGACCTCATCTTAACGGCCTCTATCCCTGCAGCTCCGGAGCTAACAAGGGAGGATCAGACATTCAAGGCCTGTGTGGGAAGCTTAGGGAGACCCCCCTAACCCCGCAGTGTGCAAAATGGCCTGGAGACGTAGCTCTGTAATAACACTAGCTTAACATGGGTGATCCTGAGAGAAAAAGGGGAATGAAAGCCAGACAGCAAAGCTCCTCCCTTCAGAAACTCTGATTCCGTTTCAGTGATTGTTGCTTAATGGGTAGAGCAAAGCTCTAGATTTTGCAAACTTGCATTTCTTTTGAGCAGAGTGAGACTTAATGTGTATGTGGTATGTGTGTGAGTGTGTGGTGTGTGTCTGTGATGTGTGATGTGTGTGTGTGAGTGTGTATGATGAGTATGGTGTTTGTAATATGTGTGTAGTGTGTTGTGGTGTGTGTTACTGTGTGGTATGTTAATGCGTGCTGTGTGTATGAGTATATGGTGTGTGAGTATATGGTGTGTTGTCTGTGTGTATATGAGTGTATGATGTTTATGTGTGCATAAGCATGTCATATATGGTTTGTGTGTGTGGTCTATGTGTGATGAGTGTGTGATGTGTGGTCTGTGTGTGATGTGTGTGTGGTCTGTGTATGATGTGTGTGATGGGTGTAAATGGCATGATGTTTGTGTATATGTGTGTTGTGGGGGAGATGTGTGTGTAGTTTGTGTGG